CACATCCACCCCGACGTACGTTATCACTTGCTCTTTCATTGGAACCCTCATGTCTCACTGACTTTTGAAAGTTTACCCACCGTAATTTAATCAAAATAGGTCGCAAGCTCGCCATTGCCTATATAACACATGTACAACGAGTCGAACTTTGGACTCAATTTACCACGCAATTGTAACGTTATAACTCAAGCACACGAAGGATAAGAAGCATGAATTATCATAGATCAGTTCTGATCTGTTCATTATGTCCATTTCATCCAACCCCCCACCGTAATTTTTCCATTTAGTAAAGGCAAGCATTTTGCCGAGGTAAGCAAAAACATGAATATTCATGAACGGTCAGACAATACAGTCTTTTAGCACGTAACGTATAGTGAATGGGAATGGGCGATGATCCGTCCAGGAGGTAGAGGTAAGTGTTTTTTGCTGGCAATGTTTCAGCGAGCGAAAATGAGACAACCGGAGCAATATGAGATATGTACATATCGAACCCCACTATACGATCGTGATTTGCGGGATGTCACGTTTATCGGGTCTTCACGATTCAAAATAAAGGCCTTGTCTCTGCGCAGCTGCTTTGCGCCGTTTGACCCGGGAAGCAGACAGTTTCTCGGGGGTCAACTACACACACATGCTTGTACAACAACATCACACAACACATGGCGCGCGCTAGCCTCCGAACCGGAAATTAACCTGGGAGGTCCGATTTGTATGTGGGGTTCAAAACAGCTTGCGTTTATCATCTCTTAGAAACGTGATTCTGGCTGTATGTCACATTCAAAACACACCTTTTTGCGTCTTTAGATATACCCATATCTAAAGACGTTTAAAAAAGGCTTTTCGTTTATTACCTTCAAAATTAGCCTGAAACACGCTTGAGAAATCTGATTCTAGGCAAAAATTTGGTCAATAAATTAAATCTGACTCGAAAATTGTCATTAAGATGTATTACAAAACACAAAACATTGACGAAGTTTTACGTCGGAATGGGTTGTCAGATTGTCGTTTATCTTCCCTCGGTTTTCAAAGAAACTTGAATAGGCCAATAAAGTGAACTGTGTTGAGTACAACTAAAAACATATAATATGATTGTAATTGATTGTAATGCTAAATGGCTAACTACAATGTAGCGAAAATGGCTTGACCGTATATAGATTGAATTAAATCAATAGACTCATAATGGCATTGGGGGTAGAAAGATGGCCTTCTTATTTCACCATTTTGTACCTTTTTGAGGGAGGCGTGAAAATGTTTTTCTAGATGTAACCCCAAGCCTACACCCCCCCCCCCCCCCCGCATGCCGGTAATTGTGAAATGTTGATAATATCTGACCCATCATCCTCATACCCTTCTGCATCTTGTTCTGGTCCTCTCTCTCTTTTCAGGTGAACAGGGCGAGATGCCTGACCAAGTACAAAGATTAAGAGAGAAGTTGAAGGCTAGATATATCGAAGAATTCAGCGAGGTCAAAGTGTCTCCTATGGACCCCGAATCACGCACATGGCTGCAGCAGATCTTTGTCAGTCTCATCTTAACGTTAGGGTATAAAAAGTATCCTGGACAACCAATTGAATACGAGGATCTGTTCAGTTTCATTCAAACAAAAACTGAGAAAGGATTCATAACACGGGTAGCCTTCCTTGGAGAAGCTGGTGTAGGCAAATCGACATTGTTTGCAAAAATAGCCCTCGATTGGGCGACGGGTAAATGTCTCCAAGATATCACTCTTCTCTTTCACGAATCATTTCGAGACATAGAAGATAGTCGCTTCTTTGGTAATATCGTTATGAATCATTTCCCAGATGACACAGAGACAATAGGGAAATGGATTGATGAATACATCAAGGAGAATCAAAGGAAAGTTCTGATCTTACTGGACGGACTGGACGAGGCTAAAATGGACATGAAATGTCCCAACCGTGAACTTTCTATCGTCTCGATGGCAAGAAGGGAGAGCTTCATTGACACTTCCGTTCTCATTAGTACACGTCCTTTTGGAGCTGAGCAAATCAGCAACATCCTGAAAATCCATGAAAAGTATAGGTATATATGGGTCAGGGGTTTTACGGAAAAACACACAAATGAATACATCCAAAATTTCTTCAAAAATGACACAGCTTCTGCATCCAGTCTCATCCACTTCTTGAACACTGACAGTGTAGTTTCTCAGTTTATGGCACCATTCCCAATCTTTTGCTGTATGCTATGTTACACGTGGAAAGTAGAATCTAAGCGCGAAATAACTGAGAAGCTACAATCAGTCTCCCAACTAATGAAAGAGCTTGATTTTGCTCTCAGGGAGCAATATTCTTCAAGATACACTGACAATGTGGAAGGTTATCAAAGTCATATGGAGAAGGCTGCTGAAGCCATTGTAAAGGTTGGTTGTGTGGCCTTTAAGGGGTTGCTGAAAAATCAGCTCATCTTCACCAAGGAGGAAACGAAAGCCTGCGGTGAGGCTGCAGCAATAGCATGTCATGTTGGGATTCTGAGTGGGGAAAAGAGGTTGGCCTCAAGAAAAATCAGACAACGAGATGGAAAGCAATTTATCCAAGAATTCTCTTTCCCTCACAAGCTTCTGCAGGAACACACCGCAAGCCTTTACATTGCATCGCTGTATAACCACAGTCGTTCGGAATTCAACAGAATCCTGACACACAAGCTGATAAAGGACTACAAGGCGTTCAAATACGTCTTGTACTTCACTGCAGCTCATGGAGGTGAAGTAGGAAAGTCGGTACTGGAAGCTCTGTGCAAGGAAGTTGATGACATGGAATTCATCATTCGGGCTGCTTTTGAATGTCATGATTCAGAAGCCATTGATCCCGTCAGGAATCTTTTGAAGACGAAGGCACATCTTGTATTATTTCGTCATATTCCATTCACCACACTTGTATTCACACTGGAGGCAATAGGGAAAGAAGTAGTAAGTTCTGTGAATAGAATTATAGACTTATCTCATTTTCGTTTATCTAGTTGTGAAATGTTATCACGTTGAGTTTTTGCTACAAAGAAAAAAACAAATACAAGAGACCTACACAATGTATTGTCTGTTTTTCTATTCTACTGACCGATAATCATATATAACCTGCCATGTTCTTCTGTTGTTATTGGGCATTAGAGCAGGCTACATGGTGTAATTATAGTCTCATACAAAAGCGAGAGTCATACCATCGTTTGCCTCTTCCTCATATAAGTGTAAAGCTTGACTTTCTTTAAAAAGAAAGGAAGGAAAACAATAGTACATGGCAATTTTAGAATCAAACAAAGACTAAGGAATGAAACACACACGGATACACGCCTACGCTCACATCCTTCATGGGAAATAGGTCAACCAACCAAACAAACTAATATCTGATGTAGGTCATGTTATATTTTGAACATGCCTTTATAATCGTTATCGTTTGTTCATATACTTCTAACACTCACATTATGTTTATGTATAACTCGAATTTGATTCAATTTGTATTTTTCAAATGTTTGATTTTTTTCTTGGTCTTGGTATATTTGTATCCTTGGTATTTACACACATCCACGCCATCTGTGTGTGGTGAAGATAATATACACCATTGTATATTTGTATAACTGTATACTACAAATGGACACACGCAAAACTACTTTTAAGAACATTTATTTCGGAAATAAAATTTATAGATCGAAAGCTAACTTTATATTTGTTGTACAGGTAAGAAGAAGTTCCTCGATTCGTGAATCATTGGGTGTTAGCAGGTCCTTGGAAGCTAACGCATCATCGTCACATGAAGCAGCAGTAGGTCTCTTCACATTACAGGACTTACGACACTTGGACATTATGTTAGGGTGTCTGGATGATGAATTCTACACAGGAATGTCTGCTGCAGCTTCACAGTCCAAGGTATCAGAGATGAGGGGCCTGGTTATTGTATTACATCAATGAATCTTGAATCATAATTTTCATTATTTTTTAATCGATGCATACTCATATTTGTTGCTTAATAATAACATTTAAACATTACATTCATCAATAAAATTTGGTTATTACACTCATAATTTCGTCACTGCTTTCCACAAAGGTAGGAAATCAAAGCATTATGCAAGGCTGGTAAAAGGGTCTTGCTCTCCTCTTTCTTTTCCTTTTTATTTATCATTAATATGTATTTACTATGTAATTTTTCTCTTAATTTGTCACAATGTGGCGGCGCTTGGGACAATCGATGGAAAATGTGAACTTCAGCCAAATTCGTTGCCAGCCTCGAATGAAGAAATACATTTCATTTTTTTTTTTTTTAATTATTCTTCTTCATTATCCTTTTTGTTTGTTTAGTTTAACATTTATTGACGATTTTCCATTAGGGGTATAAGTTTATACTGGCTGTAATCAACACTTCACGCACTAATGGACGTAGGCTATTTTCCACTCGGGTCCCTGCACTTCTCCTACCGCAATTCTAGTTGACACACACACACGCTCATTAGCGTAATGAGCCAAACATTTTGAGAGAGCCGAGCCAGAAATAGTCCAGAATCTGGCCTATTTAATTTTGATCTCCACCACACCAGCGCTACCTTCCCCTACTTACTTGCTACCAGCCGAAGATGGTGTTATCATTAAATTAGGATGCCCGGCGAAAATTTGTCTGGACTGTCCTCAGTTACGTGCGTACACGCGATAAGAACGGCTGAATGGATTTTCTTCAAACTTGGCTTAGAGATATTCTACGGCTGGTATAAAGATGATTTTGAAATGCAGATTCAATTGTTGATGTATTGTGACTGTTGTCAATATATATATATATGTATATTTTAAACATATACTAATATCTTTACTAATATATTTTGGCAATCTATTCCATCTCGTTCATTACTCAACACACTGTTAATCGGTGTTTATTTACGTCGGTGAAGGGCAATTTGTTGACCAAATGCAATAAAAACAACCCTACGCAAGATTCATTCATTTGAATAAATATGCGGTACCCGCTAATACAAGGGATTAGAACCAACAGAACCCACGGGCGAAAGCTCAGTAGTCTAGTGGATAGGACGCCTGTCTAGAGATCAGGAGGTCGTGGGTTCGAACCCCCCTCCGAGTAGGTGTGACCCATGATTTGTTTTCATCTCTATTATTCGACACACTACTATTAATCAGTGTTTATTTACGTCGGTGAAGGACAATTTGTTAATCAGTCGCTTTAAGAATTGCCTCCAGTTGCATTTTGGGGATAAGACAATAACTTCTCTGTCGGTTCTTAAGGTCACAGAATAATCTTGCCATGCGCTTATGCATACGGATTCGTAGTCCATGCCCAGTTGACCAAAGGCCCGCGAGACTGAAGACCTCTAATGTTTTAAAGTAGTATTTTAGTATAATGCGCAATGTAAGAATCATTATAATAATAATTATAATTATAATTATTATTTAAACATGAAGTATAGGGTAGCGGGACGTTTTTCAGTGGGAGGGGGGAGGTGGGGTTGCATTGACGTTAATTTACATGGAGACATGCAGAGAAAGGACACAAATATGAGGGGGGAAATAAAACAAAACTGAGGGGAAAATAGGCCTCGCGGATTTTTGGTCTCGTGGACCTTTGGTCAAATGGTCAGACCCCGAATTTGTTGTGCAATTCAATGTTCAAGGTTCAATTTGTTAACATAAAAACACACATACCAACACACAAACATCCACTCCCACACCCACACACGTACATGCGCCCATCAAAAAACATATATACACACACACATATACCCACCACCACACCCACACACACATACACACACCCGTCTCTTAATTAGTCCCCTTGAGAACTTAGTTCGGCGTGGACAAATAGCAGTGGTATTACCATCATCATTATATTGTTATCAACTTTTCAAATGTAGGGGGATAAAGATCATCTCCACACCCCACCTAATTTTTGGAGAGGGGTATATGATATCTCCCCCACCCCTTCCCCCACCCCCAGTCCCGACTCATGTTTCTCAGCGGTGTTATCTTCAGGGGCACTTGATATATGCATCTTATATATTGAGTGAGCTGGTCGCATCAAACTTTCAAAACATTTTTTTTGCCCCTAGAAACATCAATTGAGTTTTCTGTCATATAATATACCATACCATTTTTTTTTCGCTGGGCGTCCTAATTTAAAAGGAGTTTTTTTTTTTTTTTTTTTTTTTAAGCTTTTTTGCCTTTATTCAGATCTTCATAATTATACAAAATGATGAATAGGAACACAATTGTTCTTACAGTATAAACATACATGTAGTACCTTGTCTGATACATTATAAACACAGACATATTTAGAAAATATTTTCCATTTTTATCCAAACTAATAAAGTACACATTCAAAACAAGTGTACAGAATGTGCTCCAATTCCTTTAAAAGGGAAAAGGTGACGGTAATACTTGAATACAACATTATACAAAGGAACAATTTTTACAACATAATAAGCAAATCAATTAGTTCAATATAAATCAAGCAATCTGAACAAAGATTTTCTTATATAAACAAAAAGTATAAGGTGAAGGTGCTGCTTAATAATCCATGATAAAAAATGTGTTATATTTACATATAATGATATGGTGCATTTTTCATTATAACTATTTAAGGGTCTTGTATCAGTGGAGGTCTTTATCTATACCGTTATTTAAAAAAAATAAAAATATAAAATGTAAAAAACAGGCAAACACGATAGCAGATAAGTGTCCGGATCGACGAGAAAGTGAGGGAGTGAACAGGAAACAGGAATTACAATATATATACAATCAGTTCCCCTGCCTTAAGGGGTAAAATTGTACCATTTTTGATAATGTATTGGCAGTTTGTCCTTTAATTTTGCTTTTTCATGTTCAACTTTTTTTGAGTTCTCTACAGCCTTACATATTTCTTTACTAGTTGGGAACTTTCCTTTTTTACGATTACTGTAAATCATATATTTGACCAAAATCAATACATGATTTAACAATATATTATCTTTCATATTTTTTCTGAAACCAAGCAACACATCAATCCATTGCTTATTAAGAAACTGAAACATCTTTAAACTGTTTCCCATCTCATTCCATATTCTGGACCCTTCAGAACATTAAAGGAAGATATGACGGTAGGTTTCTACTTCTTTTCTACAAAAGGAACATAAATTTGACTGTGTTAATCCAAAAAGATACAATTTATCATTACAAAATATGATGTTATGTAAAAGTTTATACTGAAATTCCCTTAACTTCCCATCTAGAGTGGAAAATCTGGGGATTGAGAAACATGTTGTAGTTTCCGACTTATCTAGATTTAAAGCTAATACCTCTGGATGTTTAAAAACAAATGCATCTTGTATTATAGCAATAAAAATGTTATAGAGCATTATGTAAGGGACAGACTCAAAATAATACACTATTTTGTTAATGATAAAGTTAACGTTGGAAAGATCAAGAGTGTCATTTAGAGTATCATCTCTCCCTCTGCAAATTCTCTTAATCTTCCAGGCAGCTGGCAATTTGGTGTATAGATCATTAAGAAAAAACAGATCGTCTACATTAAGACCTTTCCTTATGAAATAGTCCCCTGATCTCATATCACCTTCTGCGTCCGTCTAATGTTCAACTAATGTTTACAAATGTTCACATGAAATAATTTAGCATTAAAAGGAATTATCCTACCTTCAATAAAAGTATTGTTAAAGATAATTTGATTTTCATTATGTGTTTCTTTTACAACATATTCCTTCTCCTTTAGATATTTCCAGATGTTCAAAAAATCCAAGTATATATTGGGTGCCTTAATATTGATTGTTTTGGGATTATAATTGCAAAGAAATATTAACTTTCCTCCTACCGTTCTAAATATATATTCGAAAAATTGTTTCCATTTCATGTCATTATTTCCACCAAGCAGTTTCTTAATCCACACTACACGCTGTGCATAGATCATGTACTTGAAATTCAGCATTTTCAAACCCCCTTTATCATAGTTCAAATATAAAATATTCCTTTTTATCTTATCATGTCCCTTCCATATAAAATTAAAACATATTTTTTCAACTTCCTTGAAAACACTTGGTGGTACCGAAATTATAGAAGACACATATAGTAATTTAGAGATTGCAAAAACTTTAACCAATTGAATTTTCCCAAAAAGTGTTAAATCCCGTTGCTTCCACAACCCTTACAATCTTTTTATTTTGCTCAGTATTTCCTTATAATTCATTTCTCCTTAAACATTAATATCCAAAGAAATCATCTTACCCAATGTTATACCGGTCAAATTTTCATTACTGTGATCAGAAGAACCAAGCTTCATAATTTGTGTTTTGTCCCTAGTGATACCTGAGAGAAGGAATCTAATATTTTTTCTAAGATTTTCATGTCTTCTGTGTCTTTCAAAAAAATTGAACAGTCGTCCGCATGCATTACTATCTTCGTCTGTATATTGCCTATCAAAAATACCTTTTGATAGCATGACAAATACTGGCTAACGCCATCTACGTCTACTTTTGGACAACTGCACGTAAACGAATGGACTTGATTAACGGTAGTCGGCGACTTAATCTCTACATGGTCAGTGCGCGCTAGCGTTCGCGAAACAGACCGAAGTTCTCCTCCCGCTCCGGTTTCGCGTATGTTGCACGCACGTGAATGCTGCGGTCGCGCCGTCCGTAGTCGTATAACCGATTGGGCCCCGAGTAGGAGCCAAGACACACAGTCTCGTCATTTTTATTTTTTTTAATGATATTTTATTTCCTTCCTCATAATTTCACATAACAAGAAATTTACATAACAAAAAAATATAAAAATAAGCATTATAAAACAAGATCTTTGATACGAGACATTTCATGAGTTACATCAATCAATGAACATAGAAAAAATCTCAGATTATACATGATTCTACCTTTTTTTCTTGCATGTAACAGTGTATAATCAAAATAACAGTAGAAGGTTTAAAGTTACATAGTACCATCCTGTTACACACTCTCACACCAACAAACTCATGACACCCCCCCCCCCCCCTCTAGCCCACCCACACCACACACCCTTTCACAAACACACAACACACACACACTGCATGCAACCTGTTCCGGAGATTTCCTTCCTCATAAAATTAACATTACAAAAGAATTATCACAGTATGTAATACAAAGCAAGATCTACGTACGATACAAAACATTTCATGAATTACAATGAACATAGAAAAATCTCAGATCATACATGTTTGTACATTTGTTCTTTCATGTAACAGTTAATAATCAAAAGAACCATAGAGGAAGGTATGAATTTTACCTAGCCCGACCCAATCACACCCTCACACCCTCAACTCACACCACACAAACTCTTCACCCCCCCCCCCCCTCTAGCCCTCCCACCTCAAACCCCCTTCACGCCGACACACACACTGCATGCAACCTGTTCCGGTTTGGCCACCTGTACAAGAGAGAGAATTAATAATAATAATAATAATAATAACAATAATAATAATACCCACATCCATTAAAGTAAAAATGCATCGATTTGTTCCCATTTCTGTAAGTGCATCCCCAGTTTCCCCTTTTTGAAGGCTATTTTGTATTCCTCGTCTCTGTAATCTTCAAGCATATTTTTATGTACTACTTTCTGTACAGATGGCAGAGTTCCTTTTTATTTCTAGAAATAAAAATGATATACTTTACTAGAAATATGATACAATTAATTACAAATATTCTAGCAGTATTGCCGGATATTCCCATAAAAATGGGTTTCCAATCATCACTGTCAATTTCGATTAAATGTAACTTTTGAATTACCTCCTGACATAATCTTTTAACTTTAAAACAATCTAATAATAAATGTTGGTATGTCTCTACTTCTTGTCTACAAAAGGAACAAAAATGGTCAGCTCAAAACCAAATTTAAAGAGCTCTCTTTTCGTATAGTACAGCCCCTTGCAATTGTTTGTATTGAAACTCTCTTTGTGTATAAATTTGCCACCAAAATAACTCCTCAGAGAAAGCATTGATGTTACAAATTTATTTCTGACTCATGTTAATCATTATGTGTCAATCTGTACATCGCCTTGGAGATGTGCTCCATCGTCCTCAACATGTGCTCCATAAACTACACTAGCTA